CAGATACTGAAAAACCAAAGAGGAAGTAGGGATTCAGAGGCCAGAGAGCAGGACAGCGGGGGGTGAGGAGAAGCAAAGAAAAAGTAGTTCCATCAAGTGCAACCGGATTGGTAGGTTTCACTTCTCATCCAAGAGGCTTCTTCAGAACCTTCACCTTCTTGAGGAAAAACAAGATTTTCTCATTTTATTTAACCCTGCTTGTGTTGATTCAAGAAGTTGTGCGCTGAGACAAAGACAGAAAAAAAAAGCCCCGGTGAAGCAGGTACCTAAAAATGCTGGCTGTGATTACGACAAGTCCTTCGTGGCATTCTCATCTGGCTAGAGAAACGGGGACCGGGGGGCTCTGACAGATTCAGGGCAAAGGATGTCAGGGTGTATGAGTGCGTGGTGGAGGGGAGGACGGTGGGGAGGGGACAGGGGGATATTATTTGTCCCGCGAAATAGGACATGGTACAAAAAAGGTTCCCACTCATCTACTCTTGTGTCATTCTTCCAAGGACAAAGAAAGCATTTAGCTGCGCTGCGGCTTTATTTAAAACACACGCGCACACAAACACACCGGAATGTTCCCCCTCACATTCACACTTCACACTGCCGCCAGTCTGAAGGTAACCTTTTGCGCTTCCTGCCGTTATCTCTTCCTGTGTAACACTTCATTTCTCACCTCCTCGCCACACAAAAGAACGCTTCAGTAAAAGGTGAGACGGAATTCAATCAGACAAAAAGAGGGCATTTATAGATCGCCCAGTCGAAGAAATAAATGATTTTTCTTCGCTTTTTTAAAAAAAATAAAAAACAATCCAAACCCTCTGACAGAACAAGCGACGGAGTATTTGAAATAAAAAGCCTGTCATCAAAACTGTAACTGTCTGCGCTGACAATTTTTTTCTTCTTTGGCCCAAAAAACAAATATTGCATACTTATCACGCCGCTTGTGATATCGAGCGTTTTGCCAGGCTACAGAAATAGCCCTGAAATCGTTCGCCGAGGCGGAGGATGGTCTATGTTGTCAGCAGAAAAAGGTGAAAGGTCGTGAATCCACTTTCCTTCAGAGGAAGCGGGAAAAAAAAAAAAAGATGAAAAAACATTTCTGAGGGGATGAATGATGTAGGAGAAACACAGGTCTCAAAGCCCGATGCTGCCAAAACACACCCGAGCGCCCTGGGATGTGTGTGTGCGGTCTATGTCCGATCATTAAATCAGGCCATTTTACAGCCCTGGACCACATCTTGACCTTTGCTGACCCCCGTCCGGCTGTCTGAGGTCACTCATAAATTCAAACATGGATTGCTCATGCCAAAAAAAAAAAAAAAAAAAAAAAACAACATGTTTGTTCAGACTGACAACTAAATGTTAGTAACTAATTCAAATAATCAAGTTTAAGTAAGTAAATTATTCAAATACAGTTTTTTCTATCTATCTATCTAGTTAGCTAGCACGCTAGTTAGCTATCTATCTATCTATAGATCTATCCATCTAGTTAGTTAGCAAGCTAGTTAGCTATCTATCGATCTATCTATCTAGTTAGCTAGCAAGCTAGTTAGCTATCTATCTGTCTATCCATCTCAGAGTGGGCATGGCTAAACTACGGCCCGGGGCCCGCATACAGCCCTTTAGGCTTTTAAAATCCGGCCCGTCGAACCAAAACTTAATATCATTTGACTGCTGTCATTTTGCCTTTTCCCTGCAATGCCTGCATTTCCCCCAACAGATGGCGCACTCTAGGGGTAAGGCCTATTATGCTCTACTTCACTGTTTCACCCATTGCCCCTTATTTGAACTTCAAATCCTTCAGCTTTCAGTTTGTCTGATACGACAACAAACCCTTCACTTCTCCACCAGGGGCAGTAAAAGGCTAAAAGCATTTATGTACCTCTGGCTTTTATCTTAGTTCACACCAACGCTCCGTCTATCTGCTCCAAGGTCACACCAACGCTCTGTCTATCTGCTCCCAGCCCCCGACCGTTCTGTTAAATGTTAGGACCCATTGTGGCCCGCGAGCCATATAGTTCGCCACATTCTCCTTGTCATGTAAAATGACTGATAAATGGGGTGGGAATCCGGTGCAGTTTCTATCAAGTATTTGGGCTGTGGTGATATAAAAGTTTTCCAAACAGGCAGGAAGCCGTGGGAGAGAGAAAAAAAACTGTGTGCCAAGAATGTGACAGGTATGCAGGTGTTGTGAAACAACAGGATGTCCAGTGGTAACGTTTGGCCGCTCATCAACAGTCACACCAGTGGTTGTGATGCAGAGCCCAGCTTGAAGTAGTGAAGGGAGACTAGTCAGCCAGTCCAATTAAAATGGAGCTACACTCTCAGAAAATAGAACTGAGCAGAGTACTTCTAAGATTTGTATATATTTGAAAAAAAAAAAAAATTCTTAATGTCGGAAAATTTGAAGTTCATAACAACGCTAGAACATATCTGGCGGTTATCAGGATTTACGATCGGCGTTAGCGTCAGAATAAGGCGCAGGGATATTTGCGATTTAAAATATTAGCTGTGAAATATATACAACTATAAAATATAATTGCGTGTCCATTGCACTATTGATCTACGAGTCTCAGCATCTTACGACTCGGGGGTGTAAATCTTCCTGCGCCCAGTGAATTTGACACCCTGTGCGTGGAAAGTGATTGGGAGTTTATGTGAAGATTTACTGAGCAGCACAGCAACAGCATAATCGCGCCAGTCAAGCGAGACGCCGCCAAACCACTTGAAGGACGCCTGAAACAAAAAAAGAAGAGTCCGCAAAAAAAAAAAATTCTGAAGAGGACGCTCAGCATTTTTACAGTAAAATCCCTCCTGGCCCTCAACTGTGCTCGCTGCACTTCAATCAAACTCTCCATCGGTCTGGTCTCACACCAGTGCTTGACTGAGCAATGATTCCGATGAACGCTGCGACCTGGAGAGCAAATAGGGAGTCCGCAAGAAGGAAAAAATAAGAATGAATAAGAACTGGTCCTTTATAGACCCACAACAAGGAAACATCGACATCTCCTCATCCTCATTCTTTCCCACATCTCCAAAATACAATGTGTTTCAACTAGGGATTTCCAATATTAACTTTTTGCCGATATGCCGATATTGTCCAAACACTTAATTTCCAATTCGGATATCAACCGATACCGATATAGGCAATGCTGCCATCTAGTGACTTACACTTTAATATACAATCGTTTTCCCCCAAAACTATTTTTAGGGCACATAATTTGGAGAAAGCCAGGCAATGCATGGATTTCATGATCGGAGGAAAAACTGATAATGATTCTTACAGATATTACATAATTATGCTAATATCGGGCTGATAACATCAATCGGCTGATACTATCGGTTTGACCATTTTATTATGTTTAATTTAGGTGGATTTTCTTTTCTTTGAAGCAATACCACCAGAAGACAGACTCATGCCTGTGCGCCTAGTGAAGGGCAAAAGGTTCCGAAAAAATATTTAGCGTAAACGAAATAGTTTGGTACTTTGGTAACTGAAATGTATCCATTTTAATTTTATTAATTTTGTTTTTAACCAGCTACTGACTGCTGACATGGCCGTTGACGCAAAGAAACAGTGAGATATTTTAGAATATTTTGCCTACACGTCTAAAAAGTACACTTTCGCAAAGTGTGTTTCTGAACTTTGTTTGAGGAGCGGTTAAACTCAAAGGCAACAGATTCACACCTTTTGTTGTGAAAATAGAATTTACAGCCCTCTCCCCTCCTCACACTCCCCCCCTTCACTCTCTCCTTCTCACACACAGACAGGTTCAAATGGCTTGCTTTGCTGCAGGCTGCTAGATCTATACCAGATGGTTGATGTTTTACTGCGACGTGCTTGTTCACATCACGCCAGACAGCGCAGAGAACACAGAGCTGTAAAATGCATAAATGTGATCTCTGTAACGCGCTGATTCTCATCACATTGTCATTTCCCCTGTGAAACAGCCGGAGGAGCTGAAACCATCTTTAACTGGGGAAAAATAAAAAAACTTGTCATGTCTGAAGTATTTATAAACATCACACAGAGAAAATTGCTATTTTTTTAATTTAGAAAGTCAGTGATGCAATGCAAGGCATCTTTGCAGGAGAAAAAAAAAATAACTGCGTCAGATACAGACGGCGAATTGTTAAACGTAAACAATGTCGCCGCCTGGTGGTTAATAGTAGGAACAGCAGGTTAAACCGGTATTTTTTATGATGATTAGAAATAGTACATTTCACAAGCACGCTGCCGGCATGTGTGTAATCACAGGGGGTTGAGGGCAAATTGTATCCAATTGCCGTAACATTACATCAGTGATGAGGTCATGACTAATGAAACAAAGTCTTTCCATACGCTTCCCCCTTCCAACAATTGGATTCCTGAGACAAACTACAAAAACACTGTCACGCCTGGGTCAAGGTGGAGGTTATTGAAGATTTTGTCTTTAAAAACCACATCTAATTGTTCATGCCAATAGCAAAAATGCTTCATCTGGGTTAGTTCTGCACATTTTGAAATTCCCAGTTCTCTACTAGGAGTGTCTAAATATGTGTACAAGTTTTGTCACTATTTTATTATTATTTTTTAAATATTTTATTATTATTTAGGGCTGATATAGCTTCTTTTTTGTTTTTTTTAATCTTTGGTAAGTCCTATTTTATTTGAATTTAATTTTGTCTAACTTTAGCCACTAAACTCTATTTAAACTTTAATTTAGAGCTGCTATTTGTTTTATTTTTGTATTTTTTTTATTTTGTATTTTTTGCATGGTTTTCTTCTCGCTGTTTCCAGGTGTTAAGGGCCTTAGTGATTCTAATTCTCATGATTACAAGCTTCTATAGGAACAAATGAGGGGAAAAAAAAGAACAATGCTGCCATCTTGTGTACTAAGCACTAACACATGGTAATCTGCACAATTCCTATTGATACAACTAATCAAATTGGTTGTTTTTTTTACGTAGAATTGCAAAATGTTTCAAAATTAAACATCTTTGTAAACAGAAATTCAGATCTTACTCACAGTTACGACCCCTGTGCCTGTATGTGGCCTTGGTCTCTCTCTCTCTCTCTCGCCCTCTCTGTCAAGTTCCAGGTGAGCATAGGTGAGTGACACCTTCCTGTAGGAGGGAGACAATGTTTCCTTAGCTCGCTTCTGTTATTTAACCTGGTCATTTCGTTTTGTGCTTAAAATATGCCTTGTGTTTGTTTCATTACCTGTTCCACTCTTGTTAACATTGCAGGCCATTATGAATGTCAGCGGTCAACTGTAGGGGGCGGGCTTTTCGGATAGTTTCTTGTCAAGTGTTTTAGGTTTAATTTTTGCTGTCTTCATTAATCAGCAGGCACAGCTCCACACTAACTCTGACGTCAGAACGCTCCGACTTCAGAGTTGTCTACTAAGATTCTCAGTCATCCAGGTTCAAGGTTAAAGAGTTACGTCAGGCAACGTCAAGATGACGTTCGGCCTCTCATCCAAGAGCCTTCTTCAGTTCTAACTGATGGAGTCTGATGTGTCATTGCAATCCTCATCAGAATGGTTTGGGTCACATGCCTTTAAATGTAAATTGAATCAGTTGTAAATTGAAGTAAACTTTGACAATTTGCTGGGGGTTATAATGAGATACAGAAAAAAAACACAGTAGTAGGTGTGGTTACTTTCAGTGTGTCCATTTGTCCCATTTATTTACAATGACATTTTCCTTCAGTCTAGGTGTGTTGGTCAATCTGTCTGTACTACAGACCTCCTGTAATGTTAATCATTGACCTTTTGGCTGTGCATTGTCAAGTCAAAGTTTTGTTTTGTTTTTTAAGTAGGCGTTTTTTTAATTAGCTTAGTAAGTTAAAAGTTAAAAGTTAATTTAAAAAACAACCACAAAACTTGCACGACAAATGAAGTAACGTTTGACTCCTTCAATAGCAAAAACACTTCACATTTACAAAGTCCATAGATACACATTTAAATCCAAGTCAAATTAATTTTTTAACAGTAATCTCAGTTTTAACACCTCCACTAAAGATGGACAGATCACATACTCACAACACTACTTCTGTCAACCACATGTGCTCACAGGATTCAACAAAGGTCCCATCATCAGGAGTGGAACAACTTCATTAAACCTCTTCTTTTGGCCTGAAACAAGATTAAATAAAGACAACATTACATACAAATGCTCTCAGATGACAACACCATGTTCAAAGTGTTTAGCGCCAGCATGTTACAACACACTTCAATTAACCGCTACTTAGTACTTTAAAGATGTTCACATTCAACAATAACTACATGAAACAACAATTACAATAAAACACAAAATGTCCTCACCCTGATGTCTCCATCTTCTCCGCTTCTTTCACTTCTGCAAAGACGAATTAAGTAAACGCAATAACACTACCACCTGTTCTGGCTGTAGTCAATCATCCACACTCTCTTCTGCTTCCTTTTTTCACTCAGGGGCTGTTCTTTTGTCATGGGCTCAAACTTCCTGTGTCCTAAAAGAAGTCCGCACGCTCTGTTGAAGACTTGTCTTTCACATGACGCGTTAACAGCCAAAGTGAAGAGAACCAAAGATGGAAACACGTCCCGTAGCAATAATAACAAACTTTTTTCTCTCTCTGTGCTTTCACACAGCGCCATATTGCTACATTACGGGACCCGGAAGTACTACCACTTTCTTCCGGTTTCCAAGGTCACGAATGCGCCTCGTTATCCAATCACAAGCGTCCTGCATGGCATCTACTATCCACTAGGTGACAGTGCAGGCTCATTATTTTATTAATGGGTAGATACACACAATCACTGCACAGTATTGTCAGTGCAGCGAAAGGAAAATTCCAGCATCTCTTATATATAATTATGCTGCAAATGATCGCATTAAATGTGTGCAAATGTTACAAAAAATGGCCAAGAAACACTAGACGAAGGAGCAACTCATTGTTTGCCTCTATCTGTGACAATCCCAAGGATGCATTTTAGCTTCGGACTGACATCTTTTGTCTGCAGCTGCATTGCTTTCACTGTCGAGAACTATGAAATGGGCGCTCTAACTGGTAGCTCTCCTCTGGTTTTAATAATTCATGGTTGGATTCAAATCTTCCTCAGATCTCAGCGTCGTATCGCCCTGTGAACTAGGTCACCTTCCCCAGATCAGAACTCTCCGTTCACTTAGCCACGTTAATAAGGCAGGCCTCCAACCAAGGAGAAGAAGAAGAAGAAGAAATGAACGGTAAAGGTGACTATCTCTTTGGTCAGGGTTAATGTACTTGTTCGCTAAATCGTCTCCCAACCAATCAGATAGGAGAGAGTGGGTGTGCCCTATTAATGGAAAAGCATGCATTATAAGCATTAAGGAAGATGGGGGAGTTGTTTTATAATAATAATAACGTATCATTTTATGCTATAAAATAGTGGACTTACCCAGTAACGGCTGTTGAATATATCATAGCTACATAAAACACAAATACGTTCAGCCTTTTATTTTGGTAATGTCAATAATAAAAGTGTCTTGCTAATACATGTCTTGAGTTTTTTCATAATATCATAGCATATTTTAAAATTCCTTGGCCAAACTATGTCGTGTCACTATTCCTACCATGGCTTCGCTACACTAGTCATACTAAAGAGTTTATATGTTGCCTTTTAACGACAACACTTATCACAATAATTCCATTCGAAACGTCATTTTGGTTAGCATTGACGATAAGAAAAAAAAACTATTCATATTTATAATGGTCTACAAAATGGAGAAAGTAATTATTTTACTGCATTTGAATTCAACTTTTATTTTGAAAATACTGGCCTATATTAGAGTTTCTTTTTATTAGTGCCATATTTTGAGGAAAAAAAGATGTTGCTGTGATGTAAAAGATTGTTTAATATCTCAGCGTAAATCAGCGTTTCCTGCTAAACAAACAATGCTTAAAGATTTGCAGCTACATTTTACATTTAAGGGTGACATTTATTATTATTATTATTATTATTATGCGTGCATGGTAAAATAACTATGCAGACCCCTCTGTCAGCAGGTAACCAACATTTATTTACCATTATCAACTTTACAATAAAACCAGTAACATCTGTCAACATTAGCAAAATAAAGAACAGAAATCAATCCGATGTATTTACAGACACAAAGCAGAATCAGGCTCACGCACGACAGATAAACGACTCTGCTTCATATCAAACCGCAACAGTGAACGTAGCAAGCTTAAGTGTTCTTTTTCCATAGTAAGGTAAAAATCAACATTTTCTATTTCTTTTTTTTTTCCTTTAAACAAAGACATAACTTTTCTGTATCTTTAAGATGGTTCTCTATAATACACCACAAAATACTTCAAATTTTGGGGTTAAAATATAGGAATGTAAAAAGTTGGCAAGTCTCTTCATTTTCTGATTTCATTTTTTTTTTTTTTTTTTGTGTTTTGTTTGTTTTCTCCTTCTATTAACAGTCACTTCGAGGGATGGTGATGGTGGTGGTTGTGGTGGTGTCTTAGTATCTCATCTATCGTCATTCCTTCAGCACTGGTGAGGCATTCAAGGAAACACACACTTCACTTCAGCTCTATCCCTCTCATGGTGTCAATAACTCGTGCTCTAGCCATGAGTCCGTTTTCCACTTCGCGACCAAGCCGCAGCCTAAGCCCTAGTCCAGGTCCGGATGTCAAGCAGTATAACCACGGAAGTGACCTAGTGAGAATCTAGTCTGTTGTTTTGATACTGTGACGAAAAAGTAGCACGTCGAAGGAGTCCCTCACATACATGTGTATATATTTACATATACATATATCCATATACATATGTATACATATACACATATATATAAATATATATATATACTTTAAAATTTTTCTCTTCCTCTCTCTCTTTCTTTCTTTCTTTCTCGCAAAGCAGTTCACCGAGTTCATTGGGAGCTTAAGGTACAATCACTCTTTCTTTTCAGAGGGAGCTTCGGCTGAGCCGCTTTCCTCTGTCGGTTTTGTGGCCTCGGGGGCTGGAGCGGCTGCCTCCTTCACCTCCTCTTTGGGAGTCTCCGCTTTTGCCGGAGCCTCCTCTGCCTTGGGGCTTTCGGCAGCGGGGGCAGCGGGGGCAGCATCGGCGGCGGCGGCGGCAGCCTCCTCCTCCTTCGCCTCCTCCTTCTTCTCCTCCTCTGCGGGAGTGGAGGCTCCGTTCTCGGCCGGCTTCTCCTCAGAGGTGGCGGCGGCGGCCGCTGCTTCCTCTTTGACTGCCTCGTTCTTCTTGCTCTTTTTCAGATTCAGCTTAAAGTTGAACTTCTTCAGGAAGGACTTCTTCTTCTTCTTCTTGGGGGTCTCCTTGGCCGCAGCCTCACCTTCGGCTTTGGCAGTCTCTCCATCTGCAGCGGGCGCTGGTTCGATAGCATCGCCCCCCGCGCCGCCTTCCGGCTCCTTGGCTGCCTCGGCCGAGCCGTTGGTGGCCGCGGCATCTCCGTCGGGCTTTGAGGAGACGTCGCCGTTGGTTTTCACATGCCCGTTCTCCTGGGGAAAAAAAAGAAGAAGAACCGTGTCAAAATAATCTTCTACGTCTGTCACGTTCGACCATGTTACACAAATAGCACACGATATAAGTCGGACCTATCTCTAAGTCTGCTTTTCTCTTTTTTTTCTTCACAGAGCATCGTCGAGCTCATCAATTAACCACCGTGTCGCCAGGCTGAGGCGACGCCTTGCAGTACCCTAATCGGACGACAGACGGCGGTAGAACCTCACAGAACGCTTCAAAGACCAGACAGACAGTGGCTCAACAAAGAAAAGGGTGGAGCTCGACGATTTAAAAAAAAAAAAATCTACTCGTCTTACAGCAGACGTGGGGTTTTTTTTCTCTCCTTTAAATAAAAACAAAAAACAAATACACGAATATAAAACTACATGAAATGCCATTTTCATTTCACACCAGTGCCCGTTTGGAGTCAATAAACAAGCGGGGAGTGGAGGTGGTGCTGGTGGGGGGGGGTCATTTAAATCCCTAATGATCCACTGATAGTCCCGAGTGGCAATTTCGAAAGTGAAATGTATATGACTCTATGTAACACGTCATACAAATAGTATAGAAACGACGGGAATTCCAAAATCAGATTTAAAGGCGTCCAGACGAACCCCGGGCTGGTGTTTCAAAGAAGGGAGGAGTAGTAGACTGTCTACGTGCGGCCAGGCTCCCCCCGCTGCACCCCCCACCCCCAACCCCCTTTATCTGCCTNNNGATATATTTATATATATACATATATTCATATTTGTATTTGTAAATGGTGATGCTGGAAGCCTTTGTCGACAATATCCTCACATTCCACTTTGACCAATGTCCACACATTTATAGAATCCATCATTTAATAGCGCGAACACATTTTTTTAAAATAAATAAATAAATAAATAAACGAAACTATTTTTCGTGTGTGGTTTACCTGTCCGTTGGTTTTGACAGCCGCAGCAGCATCAGCAGCGGCGGCAGCAGGAGCAGAGTTCCCCTCGGTGGCCACATCTCCTTTGGACGCCTGGGACCCCATTGTCTTCGTCAAGTGTCTGACACTTCCACACAAAAAAAGCAAAAAAAGGAAAAAAAGGGGGAAAAAACTTAAAAAGGACACAGCGGGGCTTCGATTTCAGTTCAAAGTCAATCCAAGCTCAGGTAGCGCGTATCCAGCGGTGAAAGGGTGAAAAGCTGGAGCTTCAGTGTTCCACAGGAGTCCCTGCGCTCGGACTGGCAGACAGAGACCCTCTAAACTCAGCACCGGTTGAACGCAACGCTTCAACATACAGCGGGTTCAAGACGCCGCCCGTGGGCGGAACTCTGTCGCGGGGCGACCAATCACCGCCTTGTTTACGTGCGCTCTTATCCGGAATTGACCAATCGCTGCTGGCCTCCTAATTGTCCGAGTCTTCTCAGACGACACCCCCCCCCACTCCCCGCAATTACAGCAAATTCACTGAAAAAAACGGATTTATAGGAAACCAAACTTTTTTTATATATATATTGTTTTTCACTTTTACTTGAGAAAAACTACAACTCAGCACTATTATGTGACCGTGATTACTGTTGCGATCTTCGTGCAAGTGCCATGGCAACTGAAAACCGTTAGACAACTTGTTGTTTCTTCTGTTGCTTTCGACTAATTTTAGAAATGGAAAATGTCATAGTGAAAAGTCCGAGTTCATCCATGTATTTTTTTATTCACATTAAAAGCAGATCACTGTTTCACCTCATCACAAAGTTGCTTTTTTATACAGAGCCCCAACCACTGGTTCCCGGACCGGTAACAGGCTGTAGGTCATTGGTCATAGGTCATTGGTACTGAGCTGAGGAGAAAAAACCACAAAACATTATGTGCTTTGGTCCACCGCTCTAGTTTAAATATCAACAGATACATCTGTAAAGAAATGACATAAATCCTGTTGATTATTTATTACACATAACCAGCTGTTACCATTTTAACCTAGCCTCCTTTCAGGTCAGGTAAAAGACTAAATCCTGAGTCACAGACCAGAATAAGAAAATCAGCTACTTTTTCTTTCACTTTCCATTTCCTCTAACTAAAGTTGTGACACGAAGTGGTGTCCCCTAACGCAACTGTTTCTCTTTTTGAAGTCCCTAAAGCAGCAGTGTAATTTCCCAGTCTCTTACTCATTGTCTCTCCTTCTCTTTTTGTTTCTGTTGGGTTCTTCCCAACCGCAAATCCTTATTTACCACCTCAGCATTTCATCAAAGCTTTAGTAAGCCTCATTACTTGTAAAAAATAAAGTCTTATCGCAGAACTGAGTTTCTTTATCACGTCACGATTTGAGGTCACGTTACCGCCGATGAAAGATGTTGTATGATAGTAATATACAGCAGACAGCGTGTTTTTCAGTCTCAGCAACACGGATCTCTTGAGGAAAAGAACACCTTTGGTACTTATTAACTGAGGCTAATCTCATTTGCACAGCATTCATTAGAAATAAGTAAATTATAACGGTCACCAGATCATGGTCATGGCTCAGAAATAGGTGTCTAATACCTGCCGGGCTAAAAACTGGTAATTTTGTTAAATGTGAGTTCAATTATCTCCTGTGACGTTGCAAATGACATCTTCCGTGGAGCCACTAGAGAACTTGGCTTTCATAACGCTGTCTCCTCAGGCCTCTGTGACTGGATTTGTTGTTTCGCTTCCGCTCGTCGACAACATACCGGGAGCGAAATATGTCAGTGTGATGATCACGCACATTCCACCTGATCAGTTTCTGCCACGCGCATTCCGCACGTCCGCTGTTAAGTCTACACATTTGAGTTATGCTATAGGAAAAGAGCTCAGTGTCTAATGTTATAAATCCATCTTCTCTGCAGCCAATCAACTTAATTGATTCAGCCAGACTCGTGAACGTAGGAATGCGGGTCGGCGATGAGCTG